GTTTCACCATGTTGACCAGGATGGTCTCGATCTCTTGACCTCGTGATCCACCCGCCTCGGCCTCCCAAAGTGCTGGGATTACAGGCTTGAGCCACTGCGCCCGGCCAATTTTCAGTATTTTCTATGATTTATATTCAGCAAGTGAGAAATCAGGCATTTATGTTTCGTTCTACAGTTTACTGAGATGAGGGAATTAAAAGCTCTACTTCCCTCATCTGAAGCAATCTATTTATAGGTTTGAGGTTTTTGAGTAGGAGCAAATCATTTTATATTTTCTGGAAATAGTCCCAGAACTCCCCAAATGCAGTTACTACTCCACGACCCTATCCCCGGCTGGCATAATCTAGGAAAGAAGAAATGACCTGATGGAGGGAAGCTTTGGTATGAAGGCAGCCAGGCCTAGAGAGGCAAAATGAGATCAAGGTAGGCATGAGGAAAAGCATAGCCTGAATGAAAGAACCCATCAAAAGCATGGCCCAGCGCAGTGACTCACACCTGCAATCTCAGCAATTCTACCCAACCCGACCTCAATCCCCAGCAATCACTGATTTTTCCTTTGGGAGACTGAGGCGGAAGGATTACTTGAGCCCAGGAGTTCCACACCAGCCTGAGCAACATAGCAAAACCCTGTCTCTACAAAAAAAAAAAAGAAAGAAAGAAAGAAATATCTAGGTATGGTGGTGCACACCTGTGGTCCCAGCTACCTGAGAGGCTGAGGCAAGAGAATTGCTTGAGCTTGGGAGTTTAAGGCTGCAGTGAACTATGACTGCCTCACTGCACTCTAGCCTGGGCAACAGAGTGAGACCCTGTCTCAAAAAACAAAAATAAGATGAGGGCTCTAGAGTAAGGTTAGGTGTCATTATGGTGAAAGTGATCACATTTTGCATTCTGCATAACCAAGTATCTGCTGCCTCGAATTTGTGATGCTAGACACCTTATAGTTTTAAATTTTTTATTTCTTTTCTCTTCAGAGACAGAGTTTTGCTCTGTCACCCAGGCTGGAGTACAGTGGTGCGATCTCGGCTCACTGCAACCTCCACCTCCTGGGTTCAAGCGATTCTCCTGCCTCAGCCTCCCAAGTATTTGGGATTACAGGCATCTGTCACCATGAGCAGCTCATTTTTTGTGTGTGTGTGTATATTTTTAGTAGAGAACGGGTTTCACCATGTTAGCCAGGCTGGTCTCGAACTCCTGACCTCGTGATCCACATGCCTTGGCCTCCCAAAGTGCTGGGAATACAGGTGTGAGCCACCACGCCCAGCCGACACCTTACATTTTTGTTGAGTGAATTATATCTCTAAAGACCATTCATTGCATGTCATTGGTACAAGTGTACAGCCACTCCAAAAAACAGCAGTTTATTTTAGAACTAACCATTTGCTTATTATATGGCACAGCAATTATACCCCTGGCCATTTATCCCAGAGAAATAAAAATGCATGTCCAAACCAAAACTTGTACATGACTTTTTTTTTTTTTTTCTGAGATGGAGTTTTGCTCTTATTGCCCAAGCTAGAGTGCAATGGCACCATCTCGGATCACTGCAACCTCTGTCTCCTGAATTCAAGCAATTCTCTTGCTTCAGCCTCCCAAGTAGCTGGGATTGCAGGCCCACGCCACCACGCCTAATTTTTTTATATTTTGTAAAGGGGTTTCACATGTTAGCCAGGCTGGTCTCGAACTCCTGAACTCAGGTGATCCGCCCACCTCGGCCTCCCAAAGTGCTGGGATTACAGGCGTAGTCCCTGTGCCCACCCATACATGACTAGTAATAGCAGCTTTATTTGTAGCAGGAAACAATGTAAACAATCCAAACGTTCTTCAATAGGTGGATGGTTAAGCAAACTGTGCTATATTCACCCCCATGGGATACCACTCAGCAATATAAAGGAAGAACAATTGGTACCTGCACAAACTTGAATGTATCTCCAAGCTACAATGTTGAATGAAAACAAAATATCCAAAAGTTATCTACAGTATGATTCCATTTACATAACATTCACAACATGACAGAATTATAAGTACGTTAAACAGGTTAGTGATCACTAGGGGTTATGGGTGACGCTGGGAGATGGTGGATATGACTGTAAAGGGAAACGTGAGAGACCTTTGTTGCGATGGAATAGACCCGCATCTTCATGGTGGTGGCATCCCATGAATCGATATATGTGACATAATGTCATAGAAATATACACACATACACGAGTGCATGTAAAACTAGCTACATCGGCCAGGCGTGGTGGCTCACGCCTGTAATCCAAGCACTTTGGAGGCCAAGGCAGGTGGATCAAGGTCGGGAGTTCAAGATCAGCCTGACCAATATGGTGAAACCCCGTCTTTAAGAATAAAATAAAAATAAAAAACGCTACATCTTCATAAGGTCTGTGGATTCTGTGATGTCAGTTTCCTGGTGTTTTGTTTTGTTTGTTTATTTGTTTGTTGGTTCGTTTGTTTGTTCGTCCGTTTTTGAGACAGACTTTTATTCTTGTTGCCCACGTTGGAGTACAGTGGCGCCATCTCAGCTCACTGCAACCTCCGCCTCCCAGCTTCAAGCAATTCTCCTGCCTCGGCCTCCTGAGTACCTGGGATTACAGGTGTGCACTATCATAGCTGGCTAAATTTTTTGTATTTTTAGAAGAGACAGGGTTTCACCATGTCGGCCAAGCTGGTCTTGAACTCCTGACCTCAGGTGACCTGCCTGCCTCGGCCTCCCAAAGTGCTGGGATGACAGGCATGAACCACCACGCCCAGCCTCCTGGTTTTCATGCAGTACTATACTTGTGAAAACGCTGCCACTGGGGGACACCGGGTGAAGGACACACAGGACCTCTTGTACTATTTTTGCAACTTCCTGGGACTCTACAATTCCTTCAAAATGAAAAGTTAAAGCAGTAAAGACCACCCAGAGCATCTAACAAACAAAGATCTGCCGGGGGCACTGATGTTCCGGGCTCTCTATTATCCTGACAGAGGCAATTACTGTTCAGAGGAAGACAAGATGAGCAATGTATCTTCCAACCCTTTCTTCCTCTAGTATTTTCGGGCCCATTTTCATATTTATTCCAGAAATAACCAATCTCCTCAAAAATGGAGCATGGGATAGTCAAGACTCAAACACATCTGTTTCCATGTCTTGTGCTATACATGAATGTTAAAAGACAATGTATGTGCCACATTTTCTTTGTCCAGTCTATCATTGATGGGTATTTGGGTTGGTTCCAAGTCTTTCCTATCGTGAACAGTGCAGAAATAAACATACGTGTGCATGCGTCTTTATAACAGAATGATGGCACATATACACCATGGAATACTATGCAGCCATAAAAAAAGATGAGTTCATGTCCTTTGCAGTGACATGGATGAAACTGGAAACCATCATTCTCAACAAACTGACATAGAACAGAAAACCAAACACCGCATGTTCTCACTCATAAGTAGGTGTTGAACAATGAGAACACACGGACACAGGGAGGGGAACATCACACACTGGGGCCTGGGGGGTGGGGGGTAGGGGAGGAATGGCAGCGGGTGGGGGGATTGGGGAGGGATAGCATTAGGAGAAATACCTAATGTAGATGACGGGGTGATGGATGCAGCAAACACTACCATGGCATGTGTATACCTATGTAACAATCCTGCACAATCTGCACATGTACCCCAGAACTTCAAGTATAATAAGTAAATAAATAAATAAATGTTTTTAAAAAGACGATTATGCCTAGAATACAGCATTGCCCCTCCAACCACCTCCTCTTACCCTTTCTCAGCATTGGCGCAATGATTACTTTCTGCATACGACCGTCCATGGCAAAATGGTCAGACATTTTGTTCTCTTTCATGGCGGAGAAAGAACTGTTTTGGATGACTAAATCAATTTCTTCTGGCTTCAACTTTTTACCAAGAAATTGACAAATCTTCTCCACACTGCCCCTGGGGTCCTACAGAAAGAAAATACTGTCAGTAGACGGTGGCTACAAGAACTGATTGTGGAGCAGGCGCTTGAGTTCTAGCCAAGGCCAAACACATACCTACATAACCCTCTGCAATTTCTGGCTTCCTATAGGCGTCCACGTTCAGGACGGTGAAATGGAAATTACAAAAGTGTCTACCACGTCAGTTAATTATGAGGGTTGTATGGGAAGCTAACATGAGCTGACGTGATAACTTGCCTTCAACTCCTGACATTCAGCACTAAGCTGTTTTCTTGCACACATAAAGTTTAGTGCGGATTCTGCTAGTCACATGGATTTTAGTATGACCATGGACGGTGCTAATCTCCAGCCGTTTTGTGGCTCTATCCTTCATGTATGTCTGCACTTCCGTATCTTCCATTGGTGGATGGGGAGCGATAACACAGACAAGAAGCGCCCCTTTCTGTATCTCGTCTGCCCCGAAGTGACACCAACTTTTCATTGGCAGATTCCATTGGCAAAACCAAGACATATTCCCCTATCTAGATGCAAGGTGGGGGCTGGGAAATGGAGCTTTCCCACGGGCCGACAACTTCCTAAAATAGCTCTACATGACCCAAGTGAACCTGACACTTCAATGGCCACTGGATTCAATGGGCTGACAGAGGCACATTTGGAAAGTTACTATTCCAAATGGCTGTCGCTATTGGCACCAGAAAGGCTGCACCCAGCCTACAATGCTTGGATTCCTGCCATCGCTCCCCTCCAAGGCCTGCTCTTCTGCAAACTCTAACTTGAGGGCTGTCACCAGGAACAGCGTCTGAAAGTGTATGTGAAATGGCTTGTGCCTGGCTCAGCAGTCCTGTAGTCAATTCCACTGTCTGTGGGTCTCAAGTTGGAGATAAGTATCAGTGCTTTCATAGAACTTATTGATGAGATGTAGGAGTTTTCAGGTGGAAGTCACCTTTCTGTAAATAATCTCCCAGTAAAAAGTACATATTATGCTGCTTGGGAAGTACGCATAAGCAAAGAGACTAGGAGATGTGCCAGGATGCCATTCTGGCCCCGCTCCACAAGATTACCTTATCCTGCCGGGCACGGTGGCTCACGCCTGTAATCCTAGCACTTTGGGAGGCCAAGGTGGGTGGATCACCTGAGGTCAGGAGTTCAAGACCAGCCTGGCCATCAGGGTGAAACCCCATCTTAGAAAAACAAAAAAATAAATAAATAAATAATAAAAGAGTATCTTGCCGGGCGCGGTGGCTCACGCCTGTAATTCCAGCACTTTGGGAGGCCGAGGTGGGTGGATCACGAGGTCAAGAGATCGAGACCATCCTGGTCAACATGGTGAAACCCCGTCTCTACTAAAAATACAAAAAATCAGCTGGGCATGGTGGCGCGTGCCTGTAATCCCAGCTACTCAGGAGGCTGAGGCAGGAGAATTGCCTGAACCCAGGAGGCGGAGGTTGCGGTGAGCCGAGATCGCGCCATTGCACTCCAGCCTGGGTAACGAGCGAAACTCCGTCTCAAAAAAAAAAAAAAAAAGAGTATCTTATCCTAAAATTGGAGATATATTTGGAAGAAGCATATGTCTGTAATAGTGACGCAGCTAACATACACACCATGCCAGACACTATTCTAAATACTTCGGTTTTATTCTCACAGTTCAGTAAGTTAGTTACTATCGTTATCCAGGTTCAGGAATGCGGACACTGAGGCACAGAGTGGTTTAGAGCTCACCAAAGTTTCCCAGTCAATGGCACAAAGCCTCACTAATGAAATCAAGATCTTCACCATTACACTCACTGCTCCTCATGAATGACTCTGCCTAGAGGAATAGATGAGGAATCTAGGAGGGGAGAGGAAATATGCCTAACTCTGGGAGTGACAGTAAAAGGGAATTACCCTCTGCAGCTCCTCATAGAAAATTAATAGGAAGGACCCCATGTCTCTCTTCTTTATCCATCCAAGGGTGTGATCAAACCAAGATCCATAATGCACTACGATGACAGGAAAAAGAGATAAAGGCTATGATTTCTCTCAAACTCATACCCATAAATATGTATTGCCATTCCTTAGTGAAGATCATATGTGTTTTGTGGAATATATTAGGTAAATGATGCCAAGCCTTTTCTTTAGAAGATTAAAACAAAATAATTAAATAAATCAACAAATCTAAGACACATTTTCTCCATATACTGAGAAAAAAGCTATACTCATTCTTACCACTTGGCTTTTTTGTTTTTGTTTTGAGACAGAGTCTCACTCTGTCGCCCAGGCTAGAGCGCAGTGGTATGATCTCTGCTCACTGCAACCTCCGCCTCCCAGGTTCAGGTGATTCTCCTGCCTCAGCCTTCCAAGCAACTGGCATTACAGACGACTTTCACTACTCCCAGCTAATTTTTTGTATTTTTAGTGGAGATGGGGTTTCACCATGTTGGCCAGGCTGGTCTCGAACTCCCGATCTCAGGCGATCCACCCGCCTCGGCCTCCCAAAGTGCTGAAATTATAGGTGTGAGCCACCACACTCGACCATAAAGAACCCTTTCTCACTATGATTCAAAACCCTGATGGGATGAATAAAAGATTAAAATACGAATATACATTTTTAACATTACAGGACCAAAAAAGAGTTTTTAAAAAACTGACAAACTGGCTGGGCGCAGTGGCTCAAGCCTGTAATCCCAGCACTTTGGGAGGCCGAGGCGGGTGGATCACGAGGTCAAGAGATCGAGACCATCCTGGTCAACATGGTGAAACCCCGTCTCTACTAAAANGTACAAAAGTTAGCCTGGTGTGGTAGCACATGCCTGTAGTCTCAGCTACTCGGGAGGCTGAGGCAGGAGAATTGCTTCAACCTGAGAGGTGGAGGCTGTAGTGAGCTGAGATCGCACAACTATACTCCAAGCAGGTGAAAAAGTAAGACTCCATCTCAAAAAAAAAAAAAAAAAAAAAAAAAAAAAAAAAAAAAAAAAAACATAAAAAAAAAAAAAAAAAAAAAAAAAAAAATTTAAATTTAAATTAAAACAAGTAAAAATTTTTTTAAATCATATTATCTCTGGCCTCCTACTAAATTCTTCTTAAGACACTGGGTAGATTTTAAAGATTTATAGACGATAGATTTACTTTTTAAAAACAATGCATCACGAATCATATTTCTGACGTTACGCTGATTATTATTATTCCAAAATTTTAAAATGAGAGGTTTGGGTTTACTTACCATCACCTTTGATAAACTGGTTCAAGAATTCATCAAAATTCTCTGGTTGCTTCTTACAAACGAATCCTCTTGATACATGATAAAGAGATGTAATAATATCTTTTGGATTCCTTAGGATATAAACAACCTAAAAGAGAAAGGAAATTTATGAAAGTGCAGTTCATATCTCTGTCTGCTCTCCTCAGCGTTCCACATGTCCTCACATGTCAAACCCAATCTACTCATCTGTGGAAACACAGCTGGGATCATAAAACAGACGTCTTCAGTCTTCAATACAAGCTCCCCTCCCCTTCCACCATTCCCTTTGCTCTTAGATAAATATGCTAAGTTGTTCTTAACTTTGAGCAGATTTAATTAAGTAGTCATAGTCGCCATGTTTCACTACATGAAGAAAAATCTGGCCGGCTGGTGTAATCCCAGCACTTTGGGAGTCCGAGGTGAGGGGATCATGAGGTCAAGAGATCCAGACCATCCTGGCCAACACAGCAAAACCCTCTCTCTGCTAAAAATACAAAAATTAGCTGGTTGTGGTGGCATGTGCCTGTAATTCCAGCTACTGGGGAGACTGAGGCAGGAGAACTGAATCCAGGAGGCGGAGGACGCAGTGAGACGAGGTCACACCACTGCACTCCAGCCTGGGTGACAGAGTGAGACCCTGCCTCAAAAAAACAAAAACAAAAAAAAAAAAAAAAAAAAAAAAAGAGTATCTTATCCTAAAATT